GCTCCCGGCCACCGCAGCCTCCAGCTGCCGGGCTCCCGCGATCCTTTCGGCCTCAGCCTTCTGAGTAGCCGGAATTACAGGCATGCGCTACCACGCCCGGCTGATTTTTTGATTTATTGTAGAGATGAGGTCTCGCCTGCCCAGGCGGGTCTCGAACCCGCGGGCTCAGGCAATCCACTCATCTCAGCCTCCCAAAGGCACGCGACTACAGGCTGAGCCACCGAGCCCAGCTCCAAATTAGTTTTAAAAACGGGAAATTGGCCAGTACTCGGGAAAGCAGAAGCAGGAGGATTGCTCGAGGCCAGGAATTTGAGACCAGCCTGGGCAACATAACAAGACTCCGTCTGTCTCAACACAAAAATTAAAAAAAAAAAAGGCGGCCAGGCTCGGTGACTCACCTTGTAATCCCAGCACTCTGGGAGGCCGAGGCAAGAGGACTGCCTGAGTCTGTGGGTTCAAGACCCGCCCGGGAAACTTGGTGAGACCTCATCTCTACAATAAAAAAATGAGCTGGGCGTGGTAGCGTGCGCCTGTAAGTTCCAGCTACTTGGAAGACTGAGGCAGAAGGATCGCCGGAGCCCAACAGGTCAAGGCTGCAGTGACTGGGAGCATGCCACTGCCCTCCAGCCTGGGTACCAGAGTGAGACTCTAACTCAAAAACAACCAAAAAAAACCCCTAAATAAATAAATAAATAAATAAAAGTTGGGTGTGGTGGTGTAAGCCTTAAAGTTCTGGCTATTCTGGAGGTTAAGGCAAGAGGAGGACTGCTGGAGCCCAGGAGTTCATGGTTACAGTGAGCTATGATTGTGCCATTACGCTTCAGCCTGGGTAACAGAGGGAGATGCTATCTCAAACAAACAAGCACACACCTGAAAAGTTAGGGAGCCACTGCCAGATTTCAAATTTGCCAAGGCAGGACAGTACAAAAACAGATTATCCTCTACTATGACTGTCACTTGATGAGACAAATAAGAGGTAATGACACAATAGCTAAGATTTATCAAATGAACACTTAGTGACAGCCTGAAACTCATCTAAGCATTTTAGATGGCTGAAGTCACTAACTTAAAGAAGCTCTTTAAACTGGGTGCAGTGGCTGACTCCTGTAATACCAGCACTTTGGGAGGCAGAGGCGAGAGGACTGCCTGAGCTCACGGGTTTGAGACCAGCCCGGGCAACTTGGCAATACCTTTCCCCTGCCATTAAAAAACAAAATTAGCCAGGCATGGTGGCACAGGCCTGTGGTTCCGGTTACATGGAAGGCTGAGGCAGAAGGAGTCCAGGAGATTGAGACTGCGGTGGCCTTGAGTGTGCCACTGCACTCCCGCCTGGGTGACAGTGAGACTCCGACTCAAAAAAAGATAGAAGCTCTTTAATTTGCTTTTGTTTTCTTTTGAGTTGAGTTCTCACTCTGTCACCCAGCCTGGAGTGCAGTGGCATGATCACAGCTCACCACAGCCTCGATCTCCTGGGCTCAGGTGAACCTTCCTCCCTCCTGAGTAGCTGGACTATAGGCACGCACCACCATACCTGGCTAGTTTTTTGTAGAGACAAGTTCTCGCTACGT